TCTCTCTCTCTCTCTCTCTCTCTCTCTCTCGCATTAGATAAGAATTATAACTTATAAATACAAAATATAAAACATAACTAAAATATAAATATTTAATAATAGCCAATAAAGTATAGTTATTGTAAGTATAAGGAAGTAAATAGCAATTTACTAAAACATTTTATAATACAATATTAGAATTAAATAATTAAATTTAAAACAGTAAACATGTTTATAAAAATATTAGTGTTGGTGATACTAGTGTGTCATTCAACTGTGCTCGTTCAGTGTAAGTAATTATAGTAATATTTTAATAATTTATAATTAGTATAAAATATATATTAAAATGTTTATATATTACTGAAAAGGCAATCGAGAAATACTTCGAGACAAGTCTGTCATTCATTTCAAGTTTTTCGACAATAGTCTTACGCTTTACAGCGAAGACATCACTGCGAGAGACATCTCATACAAAGTGTCGGTCATTGATGTCCACCAAAACAAAGTCATTGACAATAACGTGAAGATATTTGTGTTGAATGACAAAGAAAACCAGTTTATACCGCAGGCCCCGACCGGCCGGCTATATAACCATGATGAATTTGTTATGTTTAGCATCCAGGTGGCTAATGTTGAGGCAACAGTGAGTGTTTGTTTTAATAGTTTTGTCAATGTGAACATTGTTTAAAATTATTTAATTAATTGTGAATTAAGTCATACTTAATTGAGTATTACGGGGCGTCCGGTGCCCGGGAACTGTTGGCCACGAGCCATATCGTGCCCTTTCAAAAGACAGCCACCGATGGTCTGACGACCAGTCCTGTCGTCGATAGTAAAGGCAATATTATTGGCAGTATTAATGGTCTGTTAATTCAATTACAAAAAAAACTACTTAACAATATAGCTGTTAAAAGCGCTAATATTTTTTTTATTAATTGTTTAGTTAATTATTTGGTTATTCGGCCGATCAGTGGCTTCGATGCTGACGCGGATCAGACCATTGATATCAAGTCGGGCGCAATGATGGGTCACAGGGGGACGGGTTCGGGCAGACGAACGGACCTGTAAGTGCATATGCTATGAGGGGTAGCTTTAAATTTATTATTAATTATTTATAATTAATTAATTAATTAATTATATGATAGAAAGGAGAATATTTTGGAAAACACTATTGAAGCGTTTAATTATGCCTGTCGTCATGTAAGTGTCACATCATTTAATGTACCTTAACTACTTTATGACCTAGAGTACAGGGATATAGTAGTTACCAGTATCAGTACTGTATTCAACATTAGATTATTATGATTATTAATTTAGGGGATTAAGCTATGTGTAGATATAAACCTGACAACACGGTTGTTTTTTGTTTTGTGGTCTTAAATGATATAGGCAATAATTTAATCTAATGAGTAACGTACAGTAGATTAATTTAACCATTATCGTAAGATTTAATTAATGTACTGATTAATTATTTTGAGTAATAATATAAGAATATTAATTCTACAAATTTTTCAGAAGAATATTATACTGTATAATGTTGTTATCTACTTTAATTAATTCATATGCAAATGGATCAAAATTATTTTATTTTATTTTAATTATTTTTAATTATTATTTGTGATCTTGGTTTAAACAATAGGGGGCCGATATGATTGAGCTGGATATACAATTATCAAGCGATAAGATACCAATAATTCATCACAACTTTGAAACACAACTCTACGTCAGAGAAGTATTAAGACGATAATTTTAAATAACACTAAAAACATAAAAATTGCAATTAATTAACCATATATTATAATCTTGCTGTCAGAATAAGGGCACTGATTTAGCAAAACAAAATACCGCGATTAAAGATCTAGCATATTCACAAATGAAAAAGGTAAGTTAGCATAATTCTATACACATTTAATTATAATGACTAATAAATACGCTTATTATATTAATAATTAATCAATAGTTAAATAAATTATAAGCTTTATATTTGTTGAATTTTATTATGTTATCCATAGATAAGTACTGTTGAGAGTAAAAACTTTGATTATGAGGACAATCAGCCCTTTGAGACACTGAAGGATGTCTTGGAGAGAATGGATGCGAACTGTGGTATCAATTTTGAGATCAAATATCCGCAGACATATAGCGTATGAATATTTAATTATTATATTTAATTTATTGATTATTTAATTTAAAATTTTTGTGCAAACATTAGATTGCAATTAATTTCACTCAAAATATAATTTTAATGTTGCTTTGAAATTATTTATAAATATGCATGAATATTATGAGCATAGATGTTAATACACTTGTGTTATGCTAAATAATATATTAAATAATAATGTTGATAAATATTTAAATTCAATTCAAATGAAATGCAAATCCATATTCAAATTCATTGCATCGGAAAATACTTTTAAAAACATTTTGATTTCAAAAATATTTGTTGAATTTTTTACGCAAACCTCAAAGAAATGCAACATTAAATGTATGCAAATATTATTCTCAATTAGTATTCATTATTGAATTCAGCAAAATATTCCATATTCTTTGTAATATAGTATTTATTTAATTATATAACGTTAATATTTATTTAATTACATATTTATATAACGTAATTGAGATTAATTTTTATTTTTATTTCACTTTCGGATCCTTTGATTGAAATACATTTGCGATCCAATGAAAGGACGGTCACTGGGAGGCAGAGAAGCCGTTGGAATTGAATGAATACATAGACATCATTGTGAAGGCATTGTATGATAATATCGGCAACAGATCCGGAATCATAACATCATTTCACGTAGACTTGTGCTCAATGTATGCATAATCTGTTCAACAATATTAATGAACACATATTTTGTTTTTGTTTTATTTTATACAATTTAATGAATGAATTGTATATTTTACAGATATTTACTCAATACTATTGAGTGAATACAATACTATTCAAACAATTCGTGAATTTAATTATAAAAATAAATATTATGAACATTTGATTTTTAGGATACAATTAAAACAAAACAAACTAAGAGTAGCGCTCCTGACGTCGGGCGATGTGAAGCACTGGGACCCAAAAGCTAAGCCCCTATACGACCCACGCGGCACTACTATTCCGTTGGGCGCCTACTTCGCTGAGGGTATGGGTTTGGATGGTATGTCTATTCTGGCTAAGGATCTGTTGGCCGACAAAACACTCATACCGTTTGTAAAGTCACGCAAACAACACGTCTACGTCTGGGGCGACCAAATCAATAGTCGACAGGTCATCGACCAGTTGGTCAATAACGGCGCCGACGGACTCATATTTAACAAGTAATTTGTATTAATTATTTTGCTATTCATTTATTGTTTTGATTTGTTTACAGAATTGACAAATTATTACCGCAAACCACTTCCACTCCATTAGACAATAATTATTATTAATATAATGATCAAATTAAATAATTAAATTTTACCTTACAACAATAGTGATAATAAAATATACAGTATCTGTATTTAATATAAATCTATAATTAATACATAAATGTATAAATTGAAATAAAAATCGAAAAGTAATATTGCAAAACCATTACAACTAATAAAACTAAAATAAATGAATTAAAACACAAAGCATTACAATTATTATATTTGTGTTGAATTTATAATTTGTGTGTGTGTGTTAATTTATTAAATATGTAGTTGTAATATACTGTATAATTGTAATAATATGTAGTTTGTTAAGCAAAATGATTTAATTTTTAAAATATTAGTCTAAAAATATTAGAATTTGTTATGAAATGTTTCTACTAATTACTAAAAACCGTAATAAACTACGTTAAAAACTTTTACAATAATTGTATTTGGCCAAGATCAATTTGGCCAGGTAGAGTTAACTAGTTCGTTATTAATTAGTAATTAATAATTAGTTAATTTAGCTAGTTAATAAATTAAGTAAAATTTGATACATTCCCTAATATCTTTAGCACATTATTTACAAATATTTTGCTGTGAATGGACTTTTAAAAAGTTGTTATAAATTAAGTTGAGATTAAATTACAAAGTATTTAATTATTTTAATTATAAACTATCATTATGTCGCAACTTTATATTTAATGTAATTTTATATTTATATTTACTTTGCCTCTCTCTCTCTCTCTCTCTCTCTCTCAAAGGGCTGATTGTCCTCATAATCAAAGTTTTTACTCTCAACAGTACTTATCTATGGATAACAGAATAAATTATATTTAAAATACCGGTTAATTATCAAACATTAAGCCTATTTATTACTAGT